AACCAAACCCATTGCTGGCATTTTTCGTTGCACCTATGGGGCTCACAAAAATGCTACTCAACTCTCAAACAATTATCCATGCTTAATTTACAATGTATATGTTTAAACGATGTTACGAGGTTTATCTGTGTTTGCACTTTTCCCAATTATAGTAAATCAAGATGCTACCAAAAAATGTGCATGTGCACTTTATTTTAGTATGAAACACAGCCCTCTGACATGACCTTTGATTAAAATCTACATTAGCTCGCCAGTAAATAAACAGAAGCACATATCTTCTGAAGTTGTGTTTGCATTATATTTTCCTTTTATTCAGACCTCAAAAGCGCAGGGGTATCGTTGGAAGTTTCTCATTGAGTCTTTCAAAGAAAAAGTGAAAACAGGGTATGGTGGATTTGTATACTTGGTGACGAGGAGAGAGGGTGTTGCATGCTTAGTTGTGAGTGATTCTTGAAGCACCATGCACATATAAGTGCACCAAAATCTCCACTTGGAGTTTCATTTTTTTTAGTAGGTACCCATTTGCCAGATAGTCTTTCCATTGTACTGAGATCCAAAGTAATCCAAATAGTGGGTAAAAAAAAAAAAAAACAACTGGCAAAGAGACAGCTGATAACAGGGATATAGCTTTTGATCTTAATTACTGTTAATTGATGTCTGTTTGCTTTATGCAGGGAAGTTTATGCAGCTGGTATAAGCACAGATGAAGAAGCTGGTAAGATGCTCTTTGCAAAACGATTACGCATTGTAACTTTGGGGGCTTAACGCTCTAAACCCTAGCATCAGTATGCATTTTCTCCATACTGTTCTCTTTACATTTCGTAAGGTAATGACGAGGAGAATTTGTCTTAAGTCGCCAGAGGGTTCGAATTAGCAGGGTTCTAGTGTAGTTACAATTGGTAACACTTGCGTAAGTTCCTGAATAAGCTACCCTGACATATTAAAGTATGAAAGATACCTGACAGCTCTCATGTATTTATTTGTTTAAACAGAACGCGAAAAAAAGAAGAACGAGCGTGAGTTGGAATTCTTAAGACGGAGAGGGATGAACAAAGACACTGCTGCTAAAAGAATCATGAGAGAGTCTTTGGAAGGAACAAGCAGTGATAAAATGGTGAGTGCTATATATGCTTAGAAGCTAACGCTTTAACGCCAGTTTAGAAGCAAAAAAACACCTTGAGATTAAATTATCTATGAAGATTGATTGAGATGTATCCTGTCCTCATCGAGCGCATTTCGACAGAGCGTCGTAAAAACCAAAACAAAGTAATCAGAATGTCCAATTAGAAGAGAGGAAAATGCCTTGAAGAGCCAATAAGAAAGCAAAGTAAAATCAACCAAACTGCCTAAAGCGCGGGAAAATGCGGGCGACCAAATTGTGATTGGTTTTAGTTTCACATTTGATTGATTGAGAAGTGGCGGGAGTTTTCTTAACCTATCACAGAGCGAAGTAAAGTAGAACTAAAGCATGTGATGAGAGAAAAGAAAAATATTCAGGTTAGAGGCTGTTATTCTGTTGTCACTCAAACATTTTGTGAACTAGAGAACACGAAAATGTTTTTCAGCCGGACTGAGATTTACTAATCAACTCTCGTTTCTTTTTGTAGCCTCCTTCAGTTTCTGGCAAAGACAATGATGTCATTTCAGACGACGAGAATCTCAGCGATCCGGAACTGAAAACCATTTCACCTACCAGTTCGAGCCCTGAAAGACGAGCTAACCGCTCAAGTGTTACAAGAATCACCATTACTCCTGACACATCTGCTGCTGATCCGTAAGTGAACAAAATCTTTACGTCCACATTAATAGGAAAATGACACAAACTTTACATCCGGATATTTATTTTCTTCTTCCTGTTTCAGGAAACCAGCATCAGTGCAAACCAAGATTGGTTAGTTTTGTATTAATTATTGTGGAACAATATTTAATCGAGTATCGAGTTGCTGTTGTAAAGATAAGAAGAATTTGCGTAACAATCAAGAGCTGATTGCTTTTGTGATCATTTTCGTTATCCTCGTGACCTAAATATTTGACTTTGCTGTGATACTGTGAAGAAAACTTCGATGCTACAAGTTGTCACTGTTAGTGGCGAATGAGTCAATGATTGAAGCCCTTTCTTAGTGTCTATGCCTGATAACGCGCGATATGACAGATTAACAAACTTTCTCTAACCGAAAGTAAATGTCCAGAGAACAATACGCATTCTGGGCGATGCTGGGATATTTGCGCGTAAAATCCGATGGTGTACATTTTTCATGTAATGAGTAAACTCGGAGACAAACTCTAAGCGTTATTTTGCAGAGTCCAAGAAGGCTCGGCCGCGTATAAAGTTCTTTGGAGCATCTGATAATGAGGATTCTGAGGAAGACGAAGTAAAGCAGTCCGCGGTGAAGTTTACTGAGACGCCCTCAAAATCTAAACCAAAAGCTATGTTTGCAGACGCCCGACCATCTAAGGTTTGCTCCGCCGTGGTTGCAATCCATTGATATTGTGCTATTTTATAGAAATGGCAGTCTTTCACCCACTACTAATTGTAGCTTGCTAAAATAGAAAGTGAGGCTAGACCATTTTAAGTTTCCAATGTTCTGCTGCGCAATTTACCGCTGAGTAGCGTGGGAAATGAAAAGTTTAGTTATGTTTCAGTGAAGTTAAATAGCTGCAGACTGTGGCACACCGTCTCAAGATGGTTGGTGACAACATCTCTAATCTTTCATCCATTTTAATTTTCACACTCCGTATTGTGATCACATTGTCCTTGTAAGAGAAAGGGCAAAACAGTAAGATGAAAATTGGCTATGAGAGAGGATGGTTTACGAGCTTAACACTATCGACAAGGGACGAACACGAAACGTTTTAAGCCAACAGCGTTTTGGAATGCACGAACCCTGGTATAGCGCCTTTAACTTCTAGTTATCTAGTTTCAAGTAGCTCCTAAGTTGTTTTAAGAGTGCGTAAAATGGAGTACCTAATGATCTGTTTTGAAAGGCCATTTTCGATATATTAAAATTCAAACTTGGCTCCGTGGCTTGGAGGAATAAAACAAAGTAAATCACACCGAGGTTGAGGGATGAATACCTAATTTCTTTCATTTTAACTCCCCCCGCCCCACTTCCCTAGCCTCGGAGCCATGTTAGAATTTTAATATATCGAAAATGACCTATTGTTTTTTAGCATGCCGATGTAAGGTTTTTCCAGTCAGACGAGGAGGAGGATGAAGACGAAGACGAAGATATCCTGGAAGATCAAACAAAAGCCCCAGTGCCAGTTCCTCCAGTGATTACAGAGGACAAAGGATGTTGGACGCATGAACCTGAGTTCGATAAGTAAGTTTATCTTTCGGCAATTTTCATGTATATTTTTATCTTTTACATTCCCACTTTAACTATTTTTGCTCGTGCCTGATTCGTCTAAACACGTTACCTAACCCAGATTATTTGGGGAACGTCTAGTGATATTTCCAAATTCTGAAATCTCACTTTCAATTGCGTATAATTCTTTATCTTATAATAATTATTCATTATAACATTTAGCTGTAATATCTCACGTTTCTGTCCCTTTAGCTATTTACATTTGAGAATATACAGACCAGATTGTGAGAAAGGTAAGCTTAAGATCTCTTTCACTTGCCTTTGTTGTACGGGTCTTAGTCTTTAAGGTTGTGATTACAAGTGACAATTTTGGTTCGCTGGCAACTTGAAGTGGGTCTTTGTCGGCTGACCTACATGTATGACATGTTCTTTCCAACAGATGCAGTTTAGCCTATACTTAGTGTGCTCGCAAGCGGTTACCCAACTACTTTTTGGAAAAAAAAAATTGGCAAAAATATATGTAACATCTACGGAAACGTAGAAGTACTAACTTGCACACAGCAACGTGCATCTCTTATGTGAAAACTCTGTGACACGTCCACGCGATATCGAATATGCTGCTTGCAAACGAGCTTTTCCATGTGAATGTGTCTGCATGTGTGCACGCTAATCGTGTGCGTCACGCCTGTACAGTTGTCTTAAAACCCTGTGCCCTCGGCCACCGCCCAAATATCTACCCCACTGTGTTGAGATTTACCACAACGAAATACCTTTATACCTGATTTTACGTTTCATTTTGGGATTTTCTTGTTTTTTCTTGGAAAGCTGAGACTTCATTCTGTAGTGTTGCATTCAGCGGGCAGCTTCTCAAGACCGAAATATTTGAGAAGGAAGAAACTTCCCAAGAAATCCCTGCAGAACTGGCAGCCCAGCCGCCTACAACGAAAGCAGATTCAAAGAAAGTGTCACCAATAACTAAGACTGACAAAGCAAAGACGGGCGGGAAAACTAGTGCTACCGTCGTCAGTGGCAAAAAGAGCGGGAAAACCAGCGTTTCACGTGGTGCGAACAGTCGGGCCTCGTCTCCTCCTGCTTCACGGCCCGCATCAGCAGAGAAGGAGAAAAAGCTAAGGTACTAGGATGATTCTGACTTAACGTACTTCTAAATTTCTGTTCTCGGTATGTAGGCGTTACGAACTGTTTTTGTTTTTATTAACACAGCGAGTTTAAGGAAGTGATGTTTAAACTCCCTAACAATGATGGTTGTGTTGTTGGGGAACCCGCCAAAGACATCACTCTCGAGCCTCTTCGATTTGCCGTACATCCTGGGAAGGATCGTCCAATGATTGCCATGGCAACTATTACTTATGGAGATTTGAAGATCCTGGTTAGTGAAGAAAATGTTGAAAATCTTTGTTCATTTAGACGATATGTGCTTTTGTTTTACAGTTTTTTTTGTTTTTTTTTTTTTTTTTTTTTTTTTGGGGGGGGGGGGATATTCCTCCAAGTACAGCATTACTTAAGATCTGAGTAAAATCAAGATCTTATCAGGGCTCGACACTAACTTTTCAACTTACTAGCCAAGTGGCTGGTGACAACTTAGATGTTACAACAATTTCAGTTTGTTTGCTAGCTAAACTGGCTTGTGGAAATCGAAAACCACCAGCAAAGACTGAATTTCTACTAGTCTGTGGCTAGTTGGCTACCGTTAGTGTCGAGTCCTGCTCATTTTATTTTACACAATTATCGACTTTGGATCGAAAGAAACTTTTTTCGTATCCGAATCTGAAGGACTTAGGCTAAACGCAACAGACCATAAACAATGGTCCAACATTTATCTGTTAAAAACGTCCTCGCTGAAGGTGTACTCTAATTTAACCTGTTTATAGGAGCAGTTCCAGGGTCGTTGGTCGCACACAGACAGCAGTGCCGAACCACAGCAGTTGACTGTGACCTCTGTAGTACCGGACCGTGGTATGCCGTTGAACACTCCGTGTGGACAAATATCTTTGTTTTGTTACTTGGTAAGAATGACTAAGAGTTAGTTCCGTAATTTTTGAAGTAGTTGTACAGTTTTTCTTTTCACTTTGTCTTATCACGAGTTAGTATTTCGCTGCAAACCAGCAACGTACCAATAGCCTCTCCCACACATGCACGCAAACAAAGCAATAGTAACAATAATAATAGAAATTAAAACAGTTCTTCGTCTATTTTCTTGTTGTTAAGAGTTAGCTTGATGAGTTTTTTCTTTTGGTCATATTTTACTTCGGGAAGAAAAATCATGTTTATTTTCGAGCAGACGAGAAGATAATTGGAGTCATATTGTACTCAACCGAGAACCTATATAAGTTACGTCATCGTTTACCTTTGATTTAGTAAAAGGCTTGTAGATTCTGCGCTGAAAAAGAAGATCGAAGAATTTTCCTAGGGATATCGTTCGATAGAAAAATTAATTATCTGACGAGGAGATTCGGCGTTAAATTGCACGCGAAAACCAGATATCACACGAATCGCTTCGCGATATCTGTTTTCAAGTGCAATTTAATGGGGAGTTCACGAGTCAGGTGATGGATTTTCCCGAATCGCGAGAAAAGAGCAATAATGTTGTTTGTTTTTATCCTGAGCGCAAAACAAGAGATGCGAAGCAATATCACTTAGCCTCGTTTTCAACTCACAACTCCACGCTAAATACCTCGCATCGTTTACGTTTACGTTTCGCATCGTTAACCAATCAGAATGTGAAATTCTATTCAATTATACGATTTAATGACTACTTAATGTTACAAGAACACAGACTACATGTGTGTTTAAAATTTGTACCAAGCGTAAATTTCGACTGTATTTGTTGAGCTTTAGATGACATTACTTAACCTTTCGACACCTACTGGTTTTGTCTCTGTCATTATATAGTCTCAAGTTGAACGGTTGAAAAATCTTGGAAAGTCAACAGAAACAATACCTTTCGATGAGTAAGTATCAATGGCTTGTGTTTTTATTGTAAACTTGGCGGGAGAGAAAAAAAGAGAACGAACTAAATGGCTCTAACAGGACGAAAAACGATGTAACCTTAAAGAAAGCTAACTCGAAGGAAATAACTTCTGTATTTTTGAAATACAGTAACCTTACCATAGTTGGACAATTTTGAGTAGTTTGGCAAGATCAAGATTTTTTGAAGAGTTAGTCTGTTTAAAAGATCCGCCAACTGGAAGTTTTGATTTAAGAGGATCTATGAGAACGCTGAACCGACATACTTATTTGTATAAAGGCTGATAGTTTCTAAAGAAACTGTTTGGCGCTGCGTCGGTGGGGGTAACGAAATAATTTGAATATATCAACAAAGTTGAAATGGTAAATTGGCCACCGTTACGGTTATAAAAGCTGACGTTTCGAGCGTTAGCCCTTCGTCGGAGCGAATAGAGGAATTGTGGGTTGTGTGTGCTTTTAAAGGCAGAAAATGGAGCTACGTGATTGGTGGGAACATGGCAACGAGAAAAACACGAATAAATTAGTGGAATGAAAAGCGTTCGTTGATACCTGTGGGATTTAGACTGCCGGTTTGAAAGATGAGCTTTTGTTCAAGAGTTTTACGGCTTTCCGTGCTACCTAAGTGTAAGGAAAGACCGCAGATTGCCATATGTTGCTTAGAATGATTAGGTAAATTAAAATGTCTAGCGACTGGTTTCGATGTGTCCTTGTCATTCCTCTCCACGTCGCGAAGGTGTTCTCGGAATCGGTCACCTAGTCTTCTGCCTGTTTCGCCGATGTAAATCTTTTTGCAATAAGTGCAAGTTATGCAATAGATTACATTGGCGGAGGTGCACGTGAAGTGATCGGTGATCTTAATGGATCGTTTGGGTCCCGATATTTTCTCAGTGTTGTGAATGAAAGGACACGTTTTGCATCACAATAAAGTGCATTTGTAATACACAGAGTAACTAATAATACCATGTATCTTGCATCATCATAACAGGACTGTTTCTTTTTTTTATAGATTGGTGGATGCGGAGATAGCATCACGTAAACAGTAAGTGTTACTTAGGCACACTGCTGTCATCTGAGTAGTTTACAATTAAATGTCGAAAGAACCAAAACGAAAGTAATCATAACTTCGAATCAGAACAAAAATTACGATGATCAGTAACCAATGAGAACTCAAAGTAAAAAATTTTAAAAATATATTGAATATAGACATTACTTTTTTACTTACCAAGACTTGGAATGTTATCCCGAAGGTTTGAATAAAGTAAAGTTTCTTGTCTGCGAACGAAGTAGGACAACATCAATACCCAAAACAACAGCCAAATACACTCTTATGATTCAGTTTATTTCACTTGAAGAACATTTGTTTAGACCATAACTATTCCTTTTTTGATTAATCAGTTCTTTGTATAGTTCAACAGATTAAATCATTTTAAATTATATATTACTTTTCTTGTTTATTGATGTGTTTATTATCTTGTAGGGAAGAAGAGGGAGAGGCCATCGTGAAAGAAAAGGTTTCAGAGGTAAGATAAACAATATTATTCTATTTTCAGCTTCCGTCTTGATTTTAAATTGATCTAGTGCATCGGTGCGAATTTTCCTGGTTATTGCATTCTGAGAAAACTGAGGAAATACTAGTAAGTTCCCGAAATTCCCTTTTCATTTTTTATCATTTTATTTTTACCTTTCTTCACCGGAGAAACATTTTGTCAACTTGGGTTGGCAAGAGGAGATCTGTCCACAAATACATGTGGCGAACATTCTTAAAAATCGTCAAATGCGCCAAGCTGATTTTGTTTTGACAGATTTGACTAAAATTCGCCCAAATCGTGAAATCCATGAACATTCACTTGGTGTGAAGAATTCCCTCAAATCGGCAATTCTTGTGACTGCGTGCATTTCTGGACATGAGTGCAGCGAGGACTAGTGTGCTGTCGTTACAGAAAGCTTTTTCCCTCACCGAGAGTAGCTTTGCGCTCTCTCCCAACAGAAAAACGAATGGATTGTGCGACCTATCAGTTGGGAATTTGTTCACTTTCAGACTCCAGAGGCCTTGTACACGGAGGGGGATGTGAAAGCCTTGAAAGAACAACACGCTGAGGAGATAAAATTACTACAAGAGGAGTACGAGTAAGTAAAGAGTTCAGGGGAATGTAAACATCTTCCTGTTAGTATAGGTAATCGCATGGGGCCGAGTAAAATTAAGGATTAATATCACGCGTGTTTTCGGAAGTTGCTGAAATTGCCCGAGTCGCTGCGCGACTCGGGCAATTTCTGCAACTTCCGAAAACACAAGTGATATTAATCCTTAATTTTACGAGGAACCATGTGATTACTTGTTTATAATATAAGGGGCAAAATGTTTTCTTACTGATCTCGCGCAAAACGGGACGCCATTGTTACAAAACAAACAGAAATTTCTTTACCTTGGCAGCCGTTTCTAAGCGATTTTCAGCCAATCATTTTCAAGTAATTTTGCCCGGGGCAATTACAAAAATTAAGAAAAAATGCCCTCTGTCTTGACCAATCACAATTCAGTAATTTTGCCCCTTATATGATAAATTACACTACTTACTCCCGCGACTCTGTGATATTTCCTATAGTGGTAGGTTAGCGAATCTCTCCCTTCTTGTTCGAGGATAGGATCACGTTTAAGGCGAAAGCTATCTAAATTCACGAGAGTCCATCGTATGCCCTCGGCAAACTTTTCACTTCCAATATCTGTCGATTCATTCCCACGGTTGTTCATCTTACATTTCTTCGTTGAATATTCCTTTGAATTTGGTGTTACAGGTGAACCTGCTCCAACAGCCATCTCCTCACAATCTCCACCTCCCCACAAAGACCTATTCATCTTTTTTTCTCGCTGGTTTGCGAGCAGTGCCTCGCCCCCCTCCCCCCTCTCAAAGATACCCTCCCCTACCGACCCACAACGGCCTGAGTTAAACAACGACTGTAACCGACTGTAGCAAAATTGGTGGTTTTTCGCTTATGATAACCAACAGTTGTCAGCTTTATAATTATCCTCGTTTTATCTTCAATACTTAATGAGCACGCTGTACAGACTAATGTACTCACCTTACCTTGCTCGTTCACTTCAGTACCCAATTTACTTTTGCTCGTCAATAGCCAATAATATTCGTATTCCACGACGGCCCTGGGACGAGTGAGCGCTTGCGCGTGAATGCGAGGCTAATGCGGGGAAAAGTTGCGGCGAAATACAAGAAAGTTATGACCGGTTTGGCAGAAATGGAAGTAAATTTTAAAAACTGGAAGGTTCCAGAGCTTAAAAAAAAATACTTGCAGGCTCGAGGAATATCTGTCTCCAACAAAAAGAGGGAAGAATTAGTCGAACTGACGGAAAAAGCCTACAAACTCGCTCTCGAATTGACCGACGACAGTGAGTCCATAAGTGATGTTGTGAATGCTAAGTTGGTTACAAGAGATGATTTAATCCCAAATCCAGAAATCCAGATGGTTTCTAACCTTCGATTGGTCAGGCTTAGTTGCCTTCTGAATTCTGTTTGTCGTGGAAGCATTCTTCAAACGACTCGTCTCCGGATCCTGGCGTTGATTCACTTCTTTTCGTCGGAGATGTTTAGGAAAATCAAATATCGTAGGAACAGGGCTTGCCTTTGTTGGCCCTAACCCTCCTTCAAAGTGTTTAGAGCATATACGAGTGTGCCTTGTGACATTTAGGCTTTCCAGCCGGCATGCTGCGATCCACCTTCGACGTCTTTCCTTTTCACTTATTCCAGGAGTGTACTGTTTTTTTTCGTCATTTGTTGGAAAACAGTGGAAAGTAACATTTGCAACTTCGGGGTAATTGATTGGGTTCTTTTTCTTAGCCTCGCTGTTGGTACATTTGTAGGCATAACAGTGATGTTTCGGCATTTTTATGCGAAATCGAAGAAATCACTACATAAACACTACAAGTCTCTTCAACTTTTCCCCGCATCAGCCTCGCATTCATGCGCAGGGCCTACTCGTCCCAGGACCGTCGGGGAATACGAATATTGTCTTTTGGGCTACTCTGTTGTTAATCAATTTTGTTTTTGTCAGGTATTTTAATTCTATTGTAAATATTTCTTTTTCCCTAGAAAAATGTTGTATTAGTTAATAACAATGCTGATACGGGTTGATCGCTCAGGTTACATTACTCGAGCGCCAAGCTAGCTTTTTTTTTTTTTTTTAATCAAATGCCATTTATTCAGCTTTACATTCGTCCCTTTTAATTGCCTTACTTCTTGGAACATTATCCATGCGTTCCCTCTTGCAGCCAGTCTTTCAATTTGGTTGATTAATCAGTTGTGGCTTCAGTATTGTTTGTCATTTTCCGTCCGTTTTCATAGGAAGAGGTTAAACGAGCTTACTCAAGGACTGGGACCGTATTCACCTGACATGGAATATTCTCATCATGTTGTTGACGGTAATTTTATTTCGTCTCCTCTCTCAAGCTCCTGTTCGCACAAAGAAAAAAAATTCTTATTAGTTGATTTATTCTAAATCAACTAATTTAAAGGTGTAATTTGGATATATCAACAAAGTTGAAATGGTAAATTGGCCAATTTACCATTTCAACTTTGTTGATATATCCAAATTATTTCGTTACTCCCACCGACGCAGCCCTAAATAGTTTCTTTCGAAACTATCAGCCTTTATTAATTTAAGGGTGACCTGAAAGCTTTCTGAGGGCGTACACCTATTGTGTACTTCGAAAAAGTTTGAAATACTTAACTAAGTCTTTCGTCGGTGTTCTTCGCAATTGGGCATTAAGCGTCGGAAACGCTCCAGGTAGTTCACGAAGATCTCAATCGGAATTTTTTTGATTGGGCGTAAAGCGTTCCTCTTCCTCCCACGATATTACATAAATTTGAGGTACTGTACGCATTAGTCCCTTTTACAGTTGTGGGCTTGGTGACCAAGCCTTTGAACAGGAGTGAGGCTAAGGGTGACCTTGTTGTGATAGAGACCTGTATCTAGTTAGCATGATAACAAAGAAATTTGTATTTGAAAAGCAGCAACATTATCATAACAAGGTCACACTTAGCCTCACTCCTGTTCAAAGGCTTGGCCACCAAGCCCACAACTGTAAAAAGGACTATTCTCCGACTATTGCAGTCTATTTTCAGTATGAGTCGCACTTCCTATCTTTTCACATATTGCCTTGATTATCAGCATTGCCAAATAAAGGAGTGCATTGCCTATAATTGTTATGTTTGATCTCATTTGTGAATCAAGATGTTAGGCTTGCAAAAACGAATCTCTTTTGTTTTGTTTCCTATAGCTGCTACCTCACCGATGCTTTTCAGGCCTCCTTCACTGGTAAGATCGCCATCACCCGAACAGGGGAAATCGCCGCGACCGCCATCAGAAGCGAGGTAAGAGATGGAAGGGGACAAAGTATATGGGTCTGCTCCAACAGGAAATTTAAATGTAACAGGACTAAGCTTTTGGTTAGTAGTAGTGAGGTTCCTTAACTTCTTTTTGGTACCATAATGTACAGTTAACAGCTCACACTGAAAGTTAGTGTCTGCTGTATCCACGGGCTTCCCATGTGTTCAGACAGCCCCCAGATAGTCACTATCTTGTAACCAACCCACCTCCCCTCAGGGATTTTGTTCTGATTAGCCGTACGCGTCGTAATTACTTTGGTTTGGATCTTATCATACTCAATCAAAAAGCGATTGTTTGTTTGTTTGTTTATTTGTTTGTTTGCTTTTTTTGCATTACCAGTGGCTATGGCTTCGAGTGAATTTCTTTTGAGTATTTGAGTATGGGGAAGAAATAGGGATGTGAGTGCAATGAGCGAGATGAGAGATAGAGATGAGATAGTTTATTACCAAATAAAATACATTGCAGCCATAGGCTGAATTGCGTGCTCTTCACAATCTTTGATTATTTAAGACTATATAAGACAACCAAATACAAAAATGCTAAGACCTAAATAAAATTACTAAGATAACAACTATAACTAATATAGAGCAGTGGAATAGCTAAAAATCTAGGTTAGCACACGCGCACTTAGCCGGGATAAATGAAGATTTAAAACGATCAGTGCGAAAGCGCGGCATGTTAAAAACGCGCCGGTGTCTAGTATTGTAAGCTGAAAGATGCCTATCTGGCAGCAAATTATATAATTTGTGAGATGGATTTGAGACAGACAAAAACAGATCCGTACATAATTTCATGCGTGCACGTATGTTACGCAAAGCCAAAATCTGAATAGAAAATCAGCAAGGAGTATTCTTCTTTTCAATACAAAACCTCTAAGATCGTTGACACCAGGGACTAATGCTCGGAACTTCAACTTTTCGCAAGATTTACTCGTACTTATCCAAGACAAAGTTCCGTCAAGTGTTTTATTGGCCTGTCGAAATAATTTTATACTCCATCTAGAAAATAGCTGTTTCCTTCCAGAGGGAGCTTTTAGTTCTTTACACACCGGTTTTTATGTGTACTTTTTCTCGAGATCGCTTTAGTTTTTTCAATGTGATCTTTATCAATCCTTCAGGCCACAATCTCAGCCTCGGAAACCAAGACCCCGCATCCCTAACTTACCAGAGTGGGGTAAAGATTTACCCGAAGATGTAAGTGTTGAATAAGTTTGTAAGACATCTAATGTTCAAATTTGTTTGATAGCTATGAATAAGGACTCTTGCTTATATCAAGGCATCCCAGTTGTCAAGGTGATGGTGGTGGTTATGGAAAGATCATTTTGCATGGTGCAATATTAGATATACTTGACTTTGTCGTTGTTACTGCCATTGTTGTGGTTAAGTTTTGTTGTCTCTGTCATCGTTATTGTTGTTGTTGCTGTTATCATTGTTCCTGTAATTCAATAATGTGTGTGTGTGTGTGCTTTCAGAGCATCAACGAACTGTCTTACTCGTTCGTTACGACCTATCTCCTCCTTGTATCATTGGTGATGACCGATCGTTGTCTAAAGCGTATTAGAACTTAAGGAAAGGAACTTTGGTCGCCCCTAATAGTCAGGAGTTTCCCGTTTTCTTAAAATTCTCGGTGTTAGGTACATTTAAAACCTCATGATAAGTTCATATTAGTTGTATTAGAATAAGTTTGAAACGTTTTATTTTGTAAACGAAACTGACACGTGACTTGCCAGTTTAATGTTTAGTTTTACACTGTCAGTTTTCTCTTTTGCTCAAGTGTCTTATCATTGTATTATCCCTCCTGTTTCAGTTCCTCGTTCGGCTCCATTTGTTTAATGAAAACAGCTCTAAATACCATCAGGAACTTACAGACAAAACACGCCGAGCAGTGAGTTTTTACACTAGAACAAGCAGTATACAATATATATTATAGCAATAATCGCATGAGTGACTGAACGATGGCAATGGTTTCGCTTGGCTTCGCTCTTTGATTGGTTGAGAAACCTCGTACCAGGCTCTCAACTAGTCAGGTGCTAAGCTGAAGGAATTTCAATTTAGTAATCCGAAATTGCTTCAGGTTTGTTGTACATCGCCATGGGAATGGTCCTGAAAACTCGTGGTACATTCTCAACCAATCAGATTCAAAACCGCGAGCAACCGTGACTTGGTCACTCAAGTTTCCCTCACGTTTTTTAGATTGAGTTCTCTTTGGCTGCCCCCGATAATTTTCTTTCATCTGATTGTTCCCTTGCGACTGCTTTGGTTTTGGTCTTACGACATTCAACCGAACAGCGCTCTTACACAAATAAAGCAGGATCACTTAGATTTTTTCGCGCCTTAGACAGTTTGCTTATTTTTTACACTGTTTTCCGTTTGGTTTCCAATGATGTTCTCCTCTTGTTCGACAATCAATCGAAAAACACTCTTAATACAAATACTTGTGCACTTGGACTTGAGATGAAAACTACGGGATTTACTTTATTTATTTTTTCGAAATCGGCTTTGACTCGCACTCGCTGTCATGTTTTAAGTTAGAAATCATTTGGAGTTCTGAAGATGCAATCGCTGATAAACACAGATGTACTGTTTTCTCTTTCTCTTTCTGTCTCCCCTTTTTGGTGGATATGAGCTTCTTGATGTTATAGAGGCGTTTGGAATTTGTCATCGCCTTGGTTGAAAAGCGCCCGTTGTTAAATAAAATACTTTTTAAATAGAAATAAAATAAATAAAATGGTTTTTATGTCTGTGTGTTCTTGCTTATACTGGATTTTACGATTCTTTCTCTGTAGATACAAGAACGGTATGAACTACAAATGGCTGTACAAAACAGACTGGGCCACGCTGAAGAAGAAAGGGAAGAAGATACTGGTTTGTCCTTCTCTCTTTTTCCTTTTCCTTTTCATTTTTATGGTGCCTGTTAGCTTTTATTTGTTATATGATGTGATTTTTTTCTGTATTAGATATCTGTCTCCCTGCTGTATTCATGCCAACACGCACTGGCCACGTGTTCTCGCCCAAGGCCCACTCGTACTTTCACCCACCAGGTAAGAGCATTTTATATGATCAAAAGAGTTGGTACAGTCTTGGGCCCTTGAATTTTGGTTAAAGTAGTAGAAAAATCTCCTGATTCAAGATTCTTTGAGCTTTTTTTTATAGGAAAAAATCTTATTGTAGTTCAGTATTTGAAAAATTCCTCCGTTACCTCCCTTGGTTTTAAGCTTTCCACAATTTGGTGTCTTGAATAGTAATTTTGACAAATCTTTGTTTCACGCAGGTGTTTCTTATCATCTTTTATGTTTTGAAGGCATGGGTTATGACCCAGTTATTTTTTCGTCATTTTTACTTAGGTTCATCTCAGGGCCGACTTACACAACCGCCATCTATGTTAAAGCTGCCATCTGTGCCATCAGAAGCTGTATCCTTTAACAAAGAGTTTACTTAGATCACTATCTTCTCAATTCACTCTTAGCTTTAACTGTTACATACTATTTCATACACCACATCAAGGGAATAGAACACAATCATTCAACTGAAGCGTAACATGACATTAGCGGTGGTTACAATTACCCGTTGCCGTCCAAAAGAGGGCAGCTGACCGGTTGATCCTTTAACTTAAGTAAGCTCAGTTCTTACGATTATAAGTTGAGCGAGGAAGGTCAAATCAACCGAAAAGCACTTCTTAAATAATTTTAACTACAAGTCTTTCTCGGCATCCTCTAGAGTATGTAAGTGGAAAACCCAGCCTCGAGCGAGGTATCAGCCGTTACGGCATCGGTTCATAAAATAATCTTTCCCCTTCAGGTCATAAAAAGAAAGGAGAAATGTCTTAACCGCTCCTCTTTAACATTTCTACTTCTTTAATATAATACTGATAGCCCAGTTAACGGGTTCTTGTTTGGTATAAATTGAAACCTTCGTATCGTGTCACGTGCTTTTTTTCTTGACTTTGATTAGCAAGCGTCAATTCTTAATCTCTTCGAGCAGAGCAAAAGATACAACCAAGCAGGACACCCATGGTATACGCATGCTCACGATCAACCAAGACCGCATACCATAGCCAACCCTGAACAGTCACAAGCAGCCCCACCACCACCCACCGCTTGTGACATGTGGTCGCCTCCTCCTTCCCAGAGTAGGGCACGGACAACATAGAGCTCGCGGGAATTTGACTTTCCATGTGTTATTCTCCCACGATGCGGGGAAGTGCGCCGAAGAAATAGTGAGAGTTTCTCGCCTTACCTAGTTGGGCTCATGGACAGCTTGTAATAGGGTTTTTCTTTATTATTAATCGAGACCACAATGTTGTGGGATTTTTTTCGAAATAAGACCGGCGAGATTCTTTGTTTGGGGTTAGCACCGGTTTTGTAACGTATTTGAAATATTATGTACTGATGGACTGGGTGGGAGAGACAAACAAGAAAATATTTGGTGCGATGTCCGTACGTTGTCACTGACGGCCTAATATTTTCCGTTTGGCACTAGCTACCTTTGTCAATATGTAGTTTATCATACGAACGCGGTTCTTCCTCTTTCGCTTCGTCTTTCTTACTTTATTAATCATCGGCTTTTTCTGGCTTTGCTCGCGCTCCATCACGTCTGTTTTTCGTTTAAAGTGTGCGGCGGAGCCACACGTGTCAGATGATTTTTTATTACACGACTCGGGCAGTCAGAGGGCCAATAACTAAAATCAACCAATCAAAATGCTCTATTGCCGGTCAATATTCTCTCAGTATTGGACCGGGCACTGTCCCAAATGGTCCCAAATGATACCGCACTTGTGTCCCTTTGAACTTCAGTCGTATAATAAATCTCTTATTAACCAAGCTTGCTCGGGACCGTACTGGAAGAATAATCGGCCCTCGGTCTTTTTTGTACGGACCTCGCTGCGCTCGGTCCGTTCTGTCAAGACCTCGGGCCAATATTCTCCCAGCCCTTGCGCTTGGTTAATAAGATATATTATGTATCGAAATTATATGAACATCGACAAAGCCTTTTTAAATACCTGGAAATATTTCTCAATAATAATGTAAATTTGTTTAAATTATATGGAGGATATCACATGGCTGCGCGCGGATACGAATTTAGTTTATCAGCACAAGAAGATGAATTTGTATCCAAAAGTGGAAATGCAATGATCTGTTTAATTTATATAAATATCATCTGAATCACAGACAATTTTTTAAAACGTTTTAAATAGCAGTAAATGTAGATATCACCTGGACGTTTACTTAGCTCGCAAAAAAGCTACTTCATCTTCTGAAATGAAATTAAATAGGGAATAATACACGGACGCGTGTAGATGTGGAATTTCTCATTGAGTATTCAACTTGATATCGAGTTGAACGCGAGGAGAGAAATTTCACATCATGAAACCGCCATGTAGATGAACTTTACTACTCGAAGACATTGCTGTCTTCCTAAGTAAAGGTATACGATAGCGATCCTTGCGCGGGGAGGTGTCATGTTTTCGAGAAGAGGAGAAATGTTGATATTTCATCAATGTCTGTAAAATAACAAATTATTGAAATAGTGCTTTTTATGATAAATTACAACTTGACAGTTTTATATCAGTTTTGGTGGTGAGGTTTAGAAGCATAATTTCCTAAAATTACAAAACAAAGCCATTGTGCCATCTTCTATTTAAAGAGAGAGACATATTTTTTCAAATGTTCGAAAGTTTATTCTTGGTTAGCAATTATTAATTTGCGAGAACCTATTTGAAATACATGAATTTACGACGGACTAGCTTTTGATATTCGCAAGAAGTCAAACAATTTCGTATCCTCTTCTATTGTAAAGTAACACAAATCTACAATTTTGATTATATTCAAAACCAGAATACCAAATAAAATCTATTTTATCGACATAAAATTCTCTCGAGTCTTTTGCTGATCCTCTATCAACCACTAAGTGCCGCCTGTTAACAAAAACTACAGCACGTGCTAATGATGGGTGAAAAATGTACGGTACAGCACGTACTCTACAGCACGTGCTAATGTACTCTACAGCACGTGCTAATGTACTCTACAGCACGTGTTAATGTACTCTACAGCACGTGCTAATGATGGGTGAAAAATGTACTGTACGGCAGCTTAATGTCATAATAATCATCGACTTACAAAACTTCGTGTCTGTGCTCGGGATCGAAACGGTAAAATAAAAGCCTCATAGTTTAGTGATGTATCGATTTTGATTGAGCTCACTTTCAACAAGAAATCGCAGTAGCCTTTTTTCCCAACTGCCACGGTTCTTATCACTGTGATAATCCACAAATATCTGTTCTCGTAATGCTTTCGGCAGTTTCTTTTTCCTTATTCCGTCAATTCTGACGACCAACAAAGAACCTTCATGTGCAATTTTACTTCGATACAGCGCCATTTCTAGTTCTCCCTTGCAAAACTTACTGTCCAAGTAGTTCTTGGACATCACCGCCAGTACCTTGCGACTGGAGTAGACACTCTCCGCCATGTTGTCCGTCAGAGGCCTTCCCAGTTCAAAGTCCCTACTGTGGATGCAGTATTTGACTTGGTTCCCCTCCAAGAGGGGAATTATGTTGCTAGCCACCCAATGACGGTCCTTGTTGCTGAATGTCACGAAAACATCGTATTTGAACTTTCCGTCACAAGTTTTGCCTGCAAAACAAATTTAATCGGTAGTCTAATTCTTGGAAAGAGTGTGGTTCCGCGGAACATTGGTGCAAATTGTTTGTTTTCAGTCATTTGAGTATTTAAGCCCTCGTTAAGAAACTATTTATAACAAAATCCACAAACCGGGTACACTGGTGCCAAGTAATCGTTCACATTTCTTTTTTTTCGGTAGTACGGCTGTCGACAACAACTCAGAGCGCTTTTCAATTGACCGTCGTTAAATCAAAACCCAAACTATCACAAGGGCCAATCAGAGGGAAAGAAAATACCTTTATGAGCCATTCAGATCTCAAAGTAAAAACAACCTAACTGCCAAAGCCTGGGGAAACGCAGAGGACCAAGTCGTGATTACTTGAGAGGAACAGCAAAACTAATGTAATCTCGGCTGGTAGTTTCTAAAGAAACTGTTTGGGGCTGCGTCGGTGGGGGTAACGAAATAATTTGGATATATCAACAAAGTTGAAATGGTAAATTGGCCACCGTAACGATTACAAAAGCTGACGTTTCGAGCGTTAGCCCTTCGTCGGCTTTCTTTCGACTTTCAATTGAAAATTGCTTAGTGACCGCTTGCGTATCCGCACTTTTTACCCTTCATTACCATCACTGCCCCTCCGCACTCTGTTTTTCCTATCCTCATCAGTAAGTATAAAGCTCTCTATTGCTCCTCATATACGGTATGTCCCTCGCTCCTTCTTTCTCCTCACCACACACTGGTACCTAGCTTTCTGTTCATTCCACCCGCGCACTTTGGTCTCACTCATACTGACCCTTCTTACCTTACTGTCCACTGTAGTCAGTCCGTATTCGTGTGCTAGTGTTTCTTCATTCCTGCTCGCTAATTCGTCGTACCTCGGTCGTTTCTGAGTCACGACTCGTTCTCCACATGTGCCCCTATCCTCCGTTTATACATCCGTTCTTTTCCTACTCACTTGGCGTTTCTCGTTTATGTCTCAGTCGCTAATCAATCTTTTCTTAGTCGTTCCTCTTTCGCTCCTTACTGTCCTTTCCTCGTTTGTTTCTCGTACCTTTCCATTTCCACACTCGTTACTCGAACTCTCAGTTACCTCCTTTGCTATTCGCTTTTTTCTCCTTCGTTCTTCATTTCAAGCGCACTCTTTCCTCACTCGTTCCACGCTCTTTCCTCACTCGTTCCACGCTCTTTCCTCGCCCGTTCCCCCTTCGCACTCGCTAACTCTTTGCTGGTACCTCACTCGAGCCTTCGTTGCTTACTCGAGCTTCTGTGAGGCGGCCTACGAATAACAGCTGAATAGAAATTCATAGTTTTCCCAAGACCTCTTTTAGTAGTGTACATAATCCACCTATCATTGGCCCCTTCGGTTCTTTGCTCAAACACGAACCTTACTAATATTACTAAATACACTCTGTTCTTGAAGTGGTGGTTTAATGGACGCTGACATTTTACTAAGTTACATAAAACTGTGAAATAAGCCTTATCAACAAAAATCAGGTTATATATTACACAACTTACAAAGTACGACTTTCAGTACTTAAAAAACGGTAAATTTCTTAAATACGCCCTCAGTTGTTGGCGTACAAATGAGGAGGTACCCCAGTCACAAAATCAGTGAATTATGGTGTTAGTTTCCTTGGACATTTCCATTTGAGATCCTTTTTTGGCCGGTGGTCGATAGAAGTTAGTTTTCAGTTACGAACTACTGATGATGTACCTTGCTGTTTCCACTCTTGCCTTTTCTTTATCATCCTTCGAAGGGAAACCAGTGCAATCAAAGCCAAGAGAATTCCCCCAGCAACAACGGGGAAGAGAATAATCCACATAGAGGAAGAGCTGTCATCGGATGGTGTAAACTCTACGAAATGTAAGTAGTAAAACTTTACATTCAAGAGTGAATTACAGCTCAAACAGAATGAAGATCAAGAAGAGTGGCATAGCGAAGGGCTAGGTTAGCCAGCCACTGTTTTAGGACTAAAGACGAGATTATATATATGCGTTATTAATCAAGCTCGTTCGGTCAAGATGGCTGGATGCTGGCAGAGTTCCTTTTTGCGAAAAAACAACGAACAGTTATCAACCGGGCTGGCTCACTTTCCGAGGTGACACTTTCAGTCGAAATTGTGATATGGGAACCCGGGTAAAACTAATTCCATTCGAACAGTTCTTCCCGTTGCCGAGATGAGTTCGAAATTTGCCGGGTGAGATGGAAAAGGGTAGCCCACCAAAACACTCCAGAGCAAAGACATGATAATGCGGCATACCTCACTGTCAATGGCCCTCTACACTTGCACCATCAGATTAGAGACCTAATCAACTATGCACGACGCTCTTAAAATTAAGAATATTTCACTCTACCAATTTCGTGTTTTGCTTCCTCTAGGGCTATCTTCTCCGTAGACATTCCGAAGGAACTACTCAATGCACAAGTGTATGTACCAAAATCAGATTCAGACACATTGCTGATAACCAGGATCATCTCTTCGCTTTTCCGTCTCGCCTCCGAGCTTTCAACCCCGAGCGTGTATGTTTTGTAGCGTGGATCTGATTGGTTCAATTTGTTGCCTTGAAACATCCAAAACGTTGCCACCTCTAAGAAAGCTTTGTACATCGATGTGCATTTGAGTTGTACCTGGGTGTTGAGAGCCGCATACGTTGTTTCCCATTTGGTCGAAATGTTTTGGACGTTATCTGGAAGAGAGGACACAACAATGATGTAATCACAATGGTCTGAAATGGGAAAATTAAGAACCACATCTATGGAATGCTCTTCTTCTGCTTCCTGATTTCTTCAAGTTTGTTCCACTTCACCATTTTGATAAGTCATTCAGGATTCCATGGAGGATTTTGTAATTAGTGTAAGCATACAGCGACTATGAGCATTGCTAATCCTCCTTCATTGGAAGCTAATTCCTTCCGGCTCACCCCCAGGCCCACCCAGTATTTTGTCAGGCTTTCTTGGGAGTTGGCCAGAGTACCTTTCTATACTGCTGAGTGAAAAAGGTAGAGGCACTGTTAAATTAAAGATTATTGGCCATGAGCCCAAGACAGTTACTCCAGGGCTCGAAGTTGGAGCGCCAACAGTGAAGCCCCAGCATCTCTCATGCGAAGAAAGCATTCTTGCGCGCTCGTGTTTCTCATGGAAATACAGGATTCGCTTCATTTTGCTCTTTCGCGGAGGCAGCTGTATGATGTAAAGTATTACAAGACAGGTAGACTTACCTTTTACATCAACAATTACGGTCATTTTAGGGCTTATGGCTTTTTGCTCCAAATTAAATACTTCACATTCGTACCGCCCTTCATCTTTTTCAGAAACATTTAGAATGTGAAGCACCATTGTAAAGTTGTAGTGAAATTGAACTGTGTCTTCTCTATAACGGCTCGGTTCTTGACTTGGATAAAATACCGTTCCGTTGAATAACCAGTAGTGATCAGATAAGAACCAGCTAACATACAAGACGTCACACGTTAAAGTGACATTTGAACCTTTGGTGGTAATCTTGTAGCGAGGATGAGGTATGATCTCAGGAACTTGCAGCGGTGAGGATTCTGTTAAAAAAAAAAAAAGATATGTAGAGTGAAAAAAGCCGTAATGTGCTTGCAATTCCTCTTTTTCAATTCAATTTTTCTTTGAAATTGTTGCTCTTTCTTTATATACTTGGTTAATTAAATACTGACGAGATGAAAATGAACGAAAAAGTTCCAGGATAAAATCCCAAGAGAGCGAAGTGGTGTTAGTACTTTACAAATGTCACATAATTCTCCTTCCTGGTTTATGAAGTTTATCCAAGAAGGTATCAATCTTTGAGCCAAGTAGTCAATGAGTTAATAAACGGATCAATAAAACGATCTCCTGGTCACTCGACTTATCCACCATTCAATCACTTACTGATTTAATCAGTCAATGAATGAATCAATCAATCAATCCTTGGAATACACAATCAAACAATTTTTCAATCGGTGCTTAGTTCAGTCGTTTAATCAGTCAATCCCTCATTTATTCATTTATACGATTAAATCAATCGCAGATGCAGTGATTCAGCCATTAAGTCAGTCAGTCAGTCAGTCAGTCAATCAGGAATCGTTCAGTCGGTTGGTCCATCGGCCGGTCGGTCAGTCAGTCAGTCAGTCAGTCAGTCAGTCAGTCAATCAATCAGTCAGTCAATCTGTCAGTCACTGAATCGGTCAATAATTCAAGCAAAAAATCGCTTTCAAAGCTTGCGCCCAAATCGGTCGCTCTCACCTTCAATATCGACCGTTACGGTTTGACTTGCTTTACCAAATGCGTTCATAGCCTCACACGTGTAGTTCCCCTGGAGACGAATTTCAGCTGACTTGATCTTCAACGCCACTCTGTTTTCATTCGGATCTTTCCGTAAACTGAAATCGTCGCTCTCTGATATTTCCTGTGTATCTCGTTTCCATTTGATGGTAGGTGTCGGCCACCCTTCAGCTCCGCACGGGATCAGTCTCTCACTCCCCTCCTCGATTTCCACAACCTTTGGCAACGGTAGTATTCTGGGGGCAGCTTGACACATACGCGAAAGAGAAAAGACAGATCAGACATAAAGGATAAATTTATGGATTTCAACATACAGGCAGACGAACAAACAAACAAATAACCAATGAACCGGGTCAAATTTTTGATGTTGGGACAGAACAAACAATTCCTCTATTCGCTCTCAAGAAGGGTTTGAAATATTAGCTTTAGAAATTATTTTTGAAGCCAATTTACATTCATGAACTCAGTTGATAAAACCAAAATATGTTGTACTACCTCCCACCGACAGAGCACCTTAATTTCTTTAGAAACGTACCTCCTTTAATAATTTTTTGTTTTCGAATTCATACTAGAAAAATTAAACGTAGAAAACAGGGATAATGTCAACATTTCATGTAATCCTTAAGATTATGTTTAACCTCTTTAGAAAGTGAGTGTTCATTTGCTTGTTTCTTAGAAATCGTTTGAATAATTATTTTCTCCGAGTCAGTGCTTGGTCCTCTCCCTTCGAGCCTGGGCAAGCAGCAACTACTTAAAAGTTAAAGTGTCAGTTTGAACATGTTGCATTTAATTACAGTTTAAGTGAAGTTGGAAGACACCCTTGTCATATTCGTCATTTTTCCTGACTGCGCATTCATACTTCCCTGCGTCCTTCTTGGTAATGTTTATCAGGGAAATTTCTGTCCAGCGGGAAGAATTCGAAAACACACTATTGTTGATTGGTTGACCATCTTTGTACCAATCGATTACGTCACCGAGGCCTTTTTGCCCTGTTAGGCAAGTCAAGGTGAGGTTGTCTCCCGGATCAAAGCTTGTGTTTATTGGATGAACTTGTATCCTGGTTGAAATGCCGTAGGTTCCAGAAAAACCTGCGAGTTAAGCAACACTTATGTCTCAGTTAGCCCTTCGTCGGAGCGAATCAATCGTTTCGCTCCGACAAAGGGCTAAACGGCTCGAAACGTCAGCTTTTGTAATCGTTACGGTGGCCAATTTACCATTTCAACTTTGTTGATATATTCAAATTACTTTGGATAATACCGTCATGTCTAGTGACATTGATCATTGCTCCAACGATATTTGGATTATGTTTTTTGTCTGCGTGGATAAAATCACACGTTTAGATATGAGACATGGATGGAAATTCCTCGATGAAAAACTGTCCAATAATCGTAAAAAAAAAAAAGAAAAAAAAAAAGAACTTCGGGGCTGATTTAACTCGGCGTCAACGTTCGTTTCGGTTAAGAGACTCATTAGGTACTTTTCAGGATTTTTAATCAAACTCATTGAACATCGCGTTCAAAGTCCCCTTCGCGAATTCGATATGTTAGCGGTCTGGTCTCTATCGCAGAATGATTCCCAACCGCACGTTCACGAGTTACAATTTAGACAACATTTATGTGTCTTCCCACTGCACAAATTTTTTTCCAACCTCGGTCAAATTCTGGTCAGGTATCTGACAATTTTCTACCGACTGAAAGCTCGATGTTAGAACTCGAAAATTAGTCTCTAAGTTCTGCTTGCAGAATTATTCAAGCTTCCCATTGGCGAAGAGGTGAGAATATATTATTAGTATTGACCTGGTTAAGTGTCTAGCCCTTGGGCATTTCTCCTTTATCTTGGTTATCAATAATTGTAGTAGCTTTTTATATTCAAGTGACTTTCAATTGCCAATTCGTCATGGGTTTTTCATTTAAGGAAAATAAAAAAATTATCATATTTGTTTTTTTATAGAGCATTATGAAGACAAAATTAGCGCATCAGAAGACATCGAGGATTTTGCTTTTCTTTTATATATGTATATATACTTTTAACTAATATACATTTTTCGACCAATTTTGTTGTGTATACTCTATGCTTTCTAGAAATACGAAAGATTTATCGGCCAATTCGAATTTGCGTGTATTTTGAAAACTATTTGTTGAAGCCAATTAAAGAGTGTCGACAATTTTGAGTTCGGTGGTTATAGAACAGTTGTGAGGATCAAAAGCAGAATTGTTTGGTTGTATGTGAGATATTGCTCTTGACATTAAATTCATGATATTGGCTAGAATCAAGAGGTAGCACGCCGCCTAAACTGTATTTGACTCGTGGGGGAGAGATCGAGTTACTCGCTCTGTCTAATGCAAGCGAAAGAAAATGATTATTTCAAACGGAAGGGAAAGTGGGAACTAAAATTTATCTATTGGCAAAACTCAGGAAGAAAATCGAAGATTTGTCCATAATAATACAAGCCATTTTCTGAGGTTTGTCTCTTCGCTAGCCCAGCATTACGTTGGTATACTCCAGTCCAATTTCTGCTTTTGAATCGTAGATGGTATCGCTTTAAAAGGTAGTTTGGTTTTCAGTTAGAAACAAACTTTCAGTATTTCAATTTTTTGTGCCAAAAAAGAATTTGTAAATAGAAATGAAACAATTGGAAAAAAGGCTGAAATACAGGAAAGATACTCACTTGGGGACAAAAGGACCACCCAAAGGATAGAAGCAGCCCCAAAATACATATTCGCCTTGTAGTTTGATTGAACGTAGCGATTTCAAATCCACACATTCAAGTTGAGAATTTCCGAGTAAAGTCATGATATTTATACACCGGATTAAAACCACGCGATCTACATTAGAGCGTTAATAACGCCCCTACAAGCGTCTTATTGAGACAAAACAATCAACAGATTTCAGGCAAAAACAGTGCAATAATTTCAACGCAAACGACGTTTGTTCTCATGCTGCTGAAATTGGCGGGCAAACGTTTGTTGGCAACACCTGCCCCAATAAGTAATTTATTTCTAGTCTCATCTTAAATCGAAAAAGAAAAAAAAAAAAAAAGAAACTACCCGTACGTTAATTATGTCCGCGAGGATTTAAAAATTCAAGAAAATTAACGATTGCATATACATGATAAACTGGAAAAATAGCATATGGTAGACCTCGACAAGTTATTATATTTTGATTTGAAATGAGAGGCCCCATATTCTTGAACACCACTAAGATCGTTTAAAGAAGAATTTAAAGGATTATACTATTGTCCCACGCAAACACGATAAAGATTTGTTAGTTTCCGAGAGCTAGTATAACAGCGTTTTATCCTCCACCTTAACAAATTAGCTCGAAATTAAAAAGGCTAGAAAATATTACACACTTTCCACGCAAACAAAAAAAGAAAACAAAACAAAAGAAAAAAAACAAGCAAGAAAAGAAAAGAAAAAATATTGAAGGTGATAATGATTAAAAGGAAAACATTGGCATCTTTCTTGAGCCAAATCTGTATAAAATAAATGTACACCGCATTATTGACGAGAGAATTTCCTTTTTTACTGTAAGCATGGGCGAAATTTAAACCGTCCAAAACATCTTTTCGTCTACGTGACTTAAATTTTATAGCCTCCTTCTTTAAACAACCGGGTCTTTGGCTGCGGTTGCATTTAATGAGGCCCCCGCAGAAAAAGCACAATTGCCTTGAGAAAGAGTATCACGAAACGAGGGAACTGCCTTAAGCAAGAATTTTTCCTTATTGGCAAGGTGTGACAACGAAAACAGATGTTTATATCTCGGAAGGTTTCCTCGTAAGTTGCTGAAAGCATATTTATGTTAGAACTGGCTCGCAATTTGTGGAAAAAATGGTGCAAGTAGCTGACCGTAAGACGCCAACAAACTGCGCTTTGCGAATGACGCCGAAATATGATAATGAGGAAACAGAGTTGGAATAAAAGGTCCAACGTATTGCCAAGCCCTTAGTAACAACAACATGGTTGGTGTTTCTTGAAAATAAAAGATATCTTTTTTAAATTTGTCATTTGAAATCCGATTCCGAAGATTTTCTCCCTCTTCAGCCATGTTGGGTCGATTCTGGGGTTAACATCATGATTTTATTTTATGGTTACCCTTGCAAACAAATATCTAAGTTTTTCTTTCATTTAAAGGAAATTTTAAGTCGCACAAACATGAAAATATAACTGAACGAATGGATGAGGAAAATATTCAAATTGAAAATCCCTAATTGTATATATTTTGTACTGTTCAACAACAGGGCTCGCTATTTTCTTATCTAAATCATATTCATCCTCTCTAAAGTTGATTTTGAGTTGATTTCGCTCTCGAATTGATACCTTCGTCTTTTAAATAAATGATTTTTCTCCAAAGCCATCGATCATCATTTCATTTCTCCCACAACAATTTCTTAATTCTATAAATTGTAGCGGTCGTATGATTGGATCAGATCGGTCACGCACTTCTTTAATTTTACGATTTCTGGGAAGCAATTAACACAAATGGTCCGCTGTCGAAAGCCTTGGTTGCGGGCGATGTTTCCGGTATTTCAGTGGGATGGTATACACTTAAATAAATTCTTTTTTCAATAGAAAGAATAGACAAATTGGAGAAGGCGCCATTAACTCGGGAACACTGTAAGCCGCGAAGAGTTTTTTAATAACTTGTGTGCCATGTTGTCGCTAAAACTCCACGCAACAGATGTGTGGCTGTCAGGAAAACATGGTTTTCGTTTTAATTTTCTCCAAAACAGTTTTGGAGCATTAGCACAGAGGGAGTAGAGTGGAGTGACACCCACTTCAAAATATTCCAGGATTGCTTCGAGGGGTTCGACCTACAAAAAAAAAATGTCATGATCTTGTGAAGGAAAGAGAAAGGGCGTGGAGTTGTGTAACAAATATTGACAAATCCAAAACCTTTTTCGCCCTTCGTGGTTTGAGATTTATAGGCAGCAATTTTTTCGAGCACGTATCCTCAGTTATCCTAAACATTTCTGTAATAAAGGGGGTAAAAGCGACGAAAGGGTTTCAATTTTAATCTTAAAACTCGGCTTCTAAACCAAAAAGAGTCAAAATGTGATGAATAAACGTTGAGATAATAATTCTTAATTTTCTTTTCTTTATGTGCCGTTCATCTGAAATCCACTGTTGGATAATAGTTCACTTCAGTGGGTTTTTTGGGGGAGATTTCAAATCTGTTGCACATTTTTTAATATCTAAAAATGTCGTTAGAGTGATTTTTCCTTTGTCTGAGTGCACATGCGACCGAAACTAAGAGAGGGTGGGAGGTACAAACATAAACACTGATATCAAAGTTGCTGACAAAGTCGGCGCTAGCTTTGCGACAAGATTTGTACACAATCACTCTTCTTTTTCTGACACCTCCACTCATAATAATACGAGAAGACGCAGTGAGACTGGCTACCCACACACGCTAGATATTTTGTAATATAAGCTTAGAAAAACCGCATCTTCAAGCGTTTACTTTTTGCGATCAAAAGGGATAAACTTGAACAAATGTCTCCTTATACTAAGGTCAACAATTATTAAATAACAACCAAAATTTTCCTTTTAATGCTTATCTGCACACGTAGAGAGATAAGCCAATCAGGATAGGCAATCTTGTCTCGAGGTCCAACCTTCAAGGAGTCACCCTAATAAAGCAAATACCTTATTTTTTTATTCTGAAAATTTTCTTCACCCAATCATGGAATAGGTGGGAGTTGCAACAATTTTTAGTTGATTGTAAAATGCTTTCGCTACGTGACTGGTCTAGAAATCAGATTTGTCTTAACCACATTTTGAAAGTAAGTCATCCCTGATTTAAATTTCCTATTACTCGTATTCCATGGCTTCGTTATTGCTTCCTCCTGAAATATCCTTTATTTTGGAAGGTACGACTTTGGTTTCGCAGTAATGAATCCAAGAACGTCTACGCAGAGTAGAACACTTTTACGACTTGCTTCTCATTGTCTCCTCAATGGATAATGGCTATTACTGTGTGCTCTCCTGAGAGTGAAATATATCATCTGCTTTACTGAAACCTAGCAGATACATTTATTTCATCTCGGTGAAAAGTCCTTGTGAGCCTGTGGCGATGTTCGATTGACAACTGCAATTTGACAACTGCAATTTGACAACTGCAATTTGACATTTTAGCCACTAGTGGTCGATTTGCGATTTTGGCCGCTATTGGCCGATTTGCTATTTTGGCCATTAGTGGCAGATTTGCTATCTTGACCTCTAGTGACTGATTTGCAATTTTGGCCACTACTGGCCGGTTTGCGATCTTGGCCACTATTGGCCGCTCTGATTTTGGCCACAATTGGCCGATTCACTATTTTGGCCACTGGTGGCCGATTTAGGATTTTGGTAACTTGAGGCGGAATTGAAATTTTGGCCACCAACAGCTTTTTGGCCACTAACAACGTTTTGCAACTTTAACAACTAGTGGCCGATTTACGATTTTGGCCACCTCTGGCGGATTTGCGATTTTGGCCGATAGTGGCCAATTTGGTATTTTGGCCACTAGCGCCGGTTTGAGATTTTGGCAACTAGTGGCCGATTTTGGATTTTGGCCACAAATGGCCGACTTGGAAAATTTGGCCACTAGTGGCCGATTTCCAATTATGGCTACAGGTGGCCAAATTGGGATTTTGGCCCCTAGTGGCAGATTTCGGAATCTGGCCACTACTGGCATACTTAGAGTTTTGGCCACTAATGACTGATTTGCTATTTTGGCCATAAGTGGCCGATTTGGGATTTGGCCACTAGTCGACGACTTACGATTTTGGCCACTAGTGTTGCGATTTTGGCCACTAGGGGTGGATCTTCCATTTTGGCCACTAGTTTCCGATTTGCAATTTTGGCCACTAGTGGCCGATTTGCTATTTTTAGACCACTAGTGGCCGATTTGCTAATTTGGGCACTAGTGGCCGACGAGCGATTTTCGCCACTACTGGCCAATTTGCTATCTTGGCTACTTATGGCGGATTTTCGATTTTGGTCACTAGTGGCCAACTTGCGACTTTGGCCACAGGTGGACGATTTGCTATTTTGCCAGTAAAGGCCGTTTTGAGATTTTGGCCTCTAGTGGCCGATCTGAGATTTTGACCACTAATGGCCGATTTGAGATTTTGGTCACTAATGGCCGACTTTTGATTCTTGCCACTGCTGGCCGATTTGCTACTTTGGCCACTAGTGGCCGATCTGGGATTTTGGCCTTTAGTGGCCGATCTAAGTTTTTGGCCACTAGTGACCTATTTGGGATCTTGGCCATTAGTGGCTGGCCGATTTTGGATTTTAGCGACTAGTGGCCGATTTGGAATTTTAGAAAGCCACAAAGTCCATCGATTTTGGACACTAGTGGCTGATTTAGAATTTTTAATACTTGTGGCCCATTTTGTATTTTGGACACTAGTGGGCGAGTTTCGATTTTGGACACTAGTGGCTGATTTGGGATTTTGGCCACTGATTGCCGATTTGGGGCTTTGACCACTAGTGACTGATTTGGGATTTTACCCTCTAGTGGCCGATTTGCTATTTTGGCCACTAGTGTCCGATTTGAGATTTTTGCCACTAGTGGCCGACCTGAGATTTTAGCCACTAGTGGCCGATTTGCCATTTTGGCCACCAATGGTCGATTTGCTGTTTTGGCCTCTAGTAGCCGATTTGCAATTTTGGCTACTGGTGGCCCATTTGCGATTGTGGCTTCCAGTGGCCGATTTGAAATTTTGGCCACTTGTGGCCGATTTGGTAGTTTAGCCACTAG